TGTTCACTGTCGACGTCACTTAGGTCACCTAAAGACGCCAGTACGTCTTCGCGCGACAATCCCCGTCGTTTCGCCATTGTGTTACGCTGCGCACGTCACAGAACCTCGAAGTAAGAGAAAAATACCTATATTACATGGAAGGTATTATGGGGTCCATTTGACCCCAAACGGAAATAAACAAATAAAAAATAAAGAGAAAGACACGAAAACTAGCGAACGTGTGTCACATTGTTAGGAAGGCCTTACGAAAAAATACGTGAAAGGCGAGGTCGCTAATCGTGATAGTTAAAAATAAAACATGGGTTTAAAGTTCTCGATTTCGAACGTACATTGGTTCGATGAAGGTCATCCACTCGACATGTTTTTCACCGAGCAGGGAAATAAAAAACCTAGTTTTCTGAGGTGTGGCCAAAAAGTTGTGATCGATAAGGCATAGCTCCTTCAAGCACGCAACACAATTGTGCTTCTTGGAGGATGAAGATACGTGATGCTGAGTGCATTAATCCCTTGCTGATGAAGATGCATTAATCTCACCCAATGAGAGAGTTGACGAACTTGGGTGGTTTCATCAGAGCTATTCCCAACTCCCTTTTTTTATATTTTAGGAACTCTGGAAAAGTAATTTAAATTGGTCGATGGGTTTCACGCAGACCTTGGGTGGTGGGCAACGCAGATCTCATTTGCTCGAAATGCGATTCAATCTTTGACCTGCCACAGAAACGGGTTTGGAAGGAATAAGGTTTCTTTCTTCGGACATGGGTTTCCATTACGCCATTCCAATGGTAATTGGTCAGTGAACGGCATACATCATAAAAGGGACTTCCAGGTGTTAATCGCATAATGGAACTTGAGTATGTTTCTTAAATGTGGTGATACAAGTCGCTGGAAATTGTCAACAATTTGTCTCTTACCGTAAACTTATTATGAGTTTTCCCATCGGTTCATTTCATAATATATCCAATATTTATGAGATAAAATCCATTATGTAGCAAGTAACGCAACGTCATATTGGGCTGGGAATTTCTCGCTGTGAAGGATTCGGAATGTCATGAGAGGAAAGTTACCCATTAGACAACAAGCCTAGTTTTTGTCGATATGTCTAGAAAATTTTCAAACCAACGTAGATCTAGTGGTTGAACTTGTTTAGTCATGAAAATAAATTTGTCCACATGATTGAAATATCACACACGCTAACAGCCATGCAATGAACCATCTCACAGCCTGTACGTGCAACTCCGTAATCCACGGGATTGGGTGGAGAGGGCTCAGCTCCTACCCTTGTGTATCAAGAATGAGATAAATGCGACCCATCTTTACGATCTCGTGAGTAGAGCAAATACGTTTCAAGCAAAGAAATTGAGAGCATCGGAAGAAGGACTTGTATTCGCATGGGCGAGACGAAGCGAACGATGAGCAAGAATGAAAATCAATGTCTCTCCAGAAGATGTCGGTAGAGAGAGTCCATCACGAACGGGGGAGATGCCGAGAAAACGAGACGAAGAAACGAAGACCGACTGATCACTGACGACAATGGTAAACCGCAAACGGGTGCATCAAAGTGACAGCCCGAACGAAGACAGAGACGTCCCGCATCGAGGTAGAAGAAACACCGACAATCTTACGCTACAGCAACGATAAGGGGAAGGTGTCCTTGGAAGGAAGTCAGAAGATGGAGCTCATGATACCCAAGAACTGAAAGCCATTGCGGCTCTTGTTTTAATGTTTAAGAACTTCACTAGAGGTATCAATGCTGGTAAAGGTGAACCACTCGATCGAGGCATTTCTTTCGGATGAATTTCATTTTGATGCAAATCTCGAAAATGCTCAGAAGGTAAGTGATGACAATCTTGCACGAGTCTCTCCCAGACGATGGTCTAACTTCGGTACTGTAATTAGCATTTGTGCGAAATTAATGTTACCAGAATGAGCAAATTTGACAAGGACTTCTCTCAATAAATCGCATGCTTCGACTTCGACCTTTTGATGCCATGACAAATCGTTGGCATTCGATTCGGAGAGCAATGTTGAACGATAGCGTCCATTTGACTTTTTAAAGTAAACGGTTTCCGAGTTACGGCCATTCAAGTAGAACCCAGTACAGTAAATGGCCGCCTGGCGGCATATTCAAGAACTAAAGGCCCTGTTACACTAGGCGAGTTCTCGCTAGGGCCATTTCACTTGGTGTAAAATCCCGCTCGCTTAGTGTGTAACATCCCTTTAAAAACTGAACAATTTTTACGTTGAATTAATTTTACTTTTGAGGTTAGACCACTTAACCCATCGCGTTGCGGAACTTCCAGTGGCTCCTTTTCCCGACAGGTGCAATCTTTCCTAAAAGAGGCCCCACGTTTATATCATGCTTCGGTCATCGTGAAGGTCAATCCAGAGGTTCAAAGGTCAGTCGTTCATAAAACTCTCAAAAGATGGCAGAACATAATCCTTTCCATAAATGCGATCGCGGGAAGTTGGATCTTTAAATGCAAGTCGCAATCGCGCCCTTGCGGCAGCCTAAAGGTTCAGGTTGAATTTCCTTTCACGGCCAATTGGCATATTATGATTCCTGCGGTTCAACCTACGCCCTTGAAACTCGATTCCATTTCATATAACACTGCTGCGAATTCGCTGACCAAATTTAAAGATCGCCCAAACTTGTTGACACCTCTATCGGCGAGGAGTGCGCAATCGTTCCAACCCGTTCACTTCGTCGCAACGAAATAAGTTCTCCTGTCTCCACCTTTTCCTCAGAGCGATTCATTCGCGGGCGGAGTCTCCGCCTCACCTGGGAGCACGCGGCTTCGCGTCGGGCGTCGGGCGCCTCGCCTTCGTTCATCGTCTCGCAGGAATCGCCGTGCCTCGTGCAGTCCACCGCGCTGTCGCTTGTGGAACCGCCCAGTGGCCCTACGGTCTGACGAGGCCTTCCATTCTTCCTTTCATCTTTTGTCGGAGCGGCGGATCTCGCTAGACGTGCACGACTCTCGCTCGACCTTGGCATTGTTTGCGTCTCCCACTCGAAGCATCTCGCTCCTTCTGCCCACTCTCCCCTTTTGCTCACTCATCCCTTCCCAAGACTTCTAGGTGCCGGTTTCGACTTCACGTACGTATGTCAGATTCCGCTGAGTTGTTTTTTCTCTATGGTAGCATAGCTATTCCCACAATCGATTTTTTTAAAGTGTATTTCTTGAGACATTTCAGTCCTGTCCGCACGAAGCCGATCTAGTTCGCGAAAACATATGTCGGTTGCACCGAATGTCTAGCCATTCACGTAACTGTTCCCCATCTTCAGCCGGGAAATGAAGAGCTGCTGGAGCTCCTCGTTCAGAGCAGATTCCTAATCCAGGCTCGCATACAACACTTTGCGTCGTCAATGTCGTCACCGATACTACTTACCAACCCGGTCAATGGCGTTCGCACATTGTCTCCGGCTAATCGAGGAAGTCGTGGTCCTATTCAGGCCCACTGTGTACCTTTTACTAGCCCACTCTTTGACCCTCCTCGACAGCTCTGATTATTCTCTGAACGGATCATTTGCATATCGTCCGATTTTACTCCCTGCTTCCTCGAGCATCTTGCCACGAGAGCGATTGATTGAAGCAAAGCTGTTGCATCCAGCTCGTTCTTAGTCGGTGCTTAACTCGAGATTCCACTTTCGGAAACGGACCGGCGTAGTGATAACTAGGTGGACGCATCTCGGGCATGATCTTGAAAAGTAAATAATTAGTTAATATTGCACTACCTCGAAAAACGAGTTAATTTAGAGCGAAATGCACCGAAAGCACTCACCCGAAATCTTTGGATTATTGTTTTTCGTTTTCCTGGCTTTCAGACCGATCAACTTGATAATCATTCCTCACGTCAGGAAAAATATATAAATTTTGAATTTAACTAACCTCACCAGGCGGCGCACTTCGTTGAGCCCATGCTGGCCGCGCAAGGGAAAGCTTGGACCGATTCAGAAGAACCGACTGCAAGGCAGGTGGCAGGCCAGGGTGACACACGACGTCGGAGACTGAACAAAGAGAAATACAGGCAGAAATGTACCAGTACTAGTACCGTAGCCTGCCCTTAGTCATGTTTATGTGTCAATGAGAGTGTCCAGATATTAGGGTATTTCTTGCTTTTTAGGCTTTCGGAATGTGTCAATTCAATACTTAAATAGGTCTACGCTCTTCTATTCATAAAGATGTAAATACTTTTTTTGCCACCAACTTTTCTATACGTAATCGATTTTTTTAGTCAAATTATTATGAAGGGTGGTGCAGGAGTTACTTGCCACGAACACCTGAGAAACGAATGTTAAAAGCACCGGCAACAACACGTGTTCGCTCCGTTTTCCACCATCGCTCCAAAACGAAAACTCATTGGTCTTTTGTCAAAAGGTGAGCAATTATAAAGTCACTCTGTAAACAAACGAAACTAAATTAATTACTTCGAATATTTTACAAAAGTATTCGCGGCAAGTTACTTTTGCACCATTCTATATAATCCTAAGACATGGTGCTAGGGGCAGATCTCTGAGGAGAGGTAGGTAGCGCTTGAGCGATGCCATGAGGATTTTTTTTAAAGGAGAACTCGCTGTTATATGGAAAAAGTATGTCTAATAAATCCTGTTGATGTAACACGCTTTTGATAAAATGTACTGTTTCACGTGATCACATCGAAAAAGTTTGTCCGTTTCAATTTTATTTTAACAGTAAATTAAATGCTCTGTTAACGGGAGCATTTATATTGGATGATAGTGTATTTCTCCGTACACTTAGTACTCTTGGATCGTGGAAAGGAATCTCGAGTGCATCGCATATTTCAGCAATGGCAGGCTGTGAAAGCGATGGAAACTTCGGCCTTGGCATCCGATCTAAGACGCAGCTGACCTTTCGCAGATTCCTTCACTTCTTACGTTCATATTCTCTTTTGACGAATCTGCTACGCGATTCCATGCATATCGGAGTCACTTTCCCCAAAAGATTTCGAGACAGCTAACTTTTCGCACTCAAGTCTGCAAGATGTCTAGTGCATAAATACATTTTCCTAGGGTGTCTCGAAGCGAACGAACGCATCGATACGAGGATGGACGGATGGTGCCTTTGGTCGGTGTTCTCGTCGGTAGTCACGCTCCTGGTGTTGGCTTCGGCATGCGTCCAGCTCTTCCACCTGGCGAGGAGACTCTTCATCCACGCCTTCGCCCCTTACCCTCCTTTCACCTCCTATGGTGCCTGGGCAGGTGAGAGAGAGACCTCGAAATTAAAGTAGACATTTGGCATCATTGGTTCGTCCCATGAACAAAGGTACGGGTACCTTAATGCTTTTTCTCTAGGATTCCTCGAGCAAGAACAAGTTTTTAGTTATTCACTTAAATGACGGATATGAATTTCATCCCTCTGCGTGTATGGCACGTGACATTCTTCATTATACAAACAAGTAACAGGTTCAGAGGTTCTCAGAGAGGAGTTGAAAAGAGCTATGGACGCACGTGATAGGATTCCTTATTGTGGGAACAAGAGTATTCTGCTTAGACTGATGTAATCCCAGCGGATTTCGACGACACGTGAAAATCCGTTCTGCCAAAGCAAGGTTAAAAGAGATTCTTGAAAATAAATAGGAAACAAGTGGGGGCAAGGAACTGCAGTCCCTCCAGGGTCCTTACTCGTACAAAAACATCCTATAGGATTGAAATAATTTTTTTTACTATAGAAACCTTGTAGAGTACTTATAGGATTTTTTTCTTATGGGTAGGCTTTGCAAACGAGGAGAAAATCCCAAGAAATGAAGAAAACTCTCCAATATTGGCGGGATTTATTCATCATTCATTTATTGGTAAAGCGCTATCACGCTATACTAAAGGGACAAAAAATGAACAAAAAGGAAGGAATTCCAATGGGAAAATGTTCAAAATAGCTCGGATAATATGCAACCATAGCGCAACGACTTTTCCTACATGGGAGAATAATGCCCCCTCCGGTTTCTGATTAATATGAATCCCCTGATGAGGAATTGCTCGTAATCTTTATTTGGCACAACGTATTTCAATCTCATTTCAAAGGCCTTAAAGAACCACATCAGCCACAATGAAATTTCTTGAAAGTAGCTCTGAAGGGAGAGCAATTGGTATCANAATAATTAACATTGGCTTATTTTTTACCATATCCTCTATATTTGATGGGTCGTAGTAATAAACGTGTCTTCTCTCTCATGAGAAAATCTGTTTCCTTCATTGTTTCAGATGGAAAGTGAAAACTATATAGTAACTTTAAACTTCAAGGTCAGCTCAGCACTGCAAAATGATTTGGCATCCAGGAACACCTGAGAGCACATCAGAGAATGGCTAAGAACGCATCATGCATGCAAAAGTGTAAAAATCGGTTATTTTAAGTGTTTCTGATAGAATATTATTTTACAGTGAGTGGGGGGGGGGGAAGACTTATGAAACTTCCATCGATGCCGTTAGATATTTTGCTACACTTTTTATTCTAAAATTGACTGTTACTTTAATTTTTTTCTCTAGAGTAACCCTAATCACCTTGCAAAACTGCAACTTTCAGTCTCGCACAGCACAAAGGATATAGTCTAAAAAAAACATGATTATTTTATTTAAATGAATTGAATTCGACCAGGGAAGAGTGAAACTAATAACCCTCCAAATTGTAATAACACATCTTAATTAGTACGGACTCAGCAATTTCATGATGAGCTTCCATGGGGATGAGTCTTATCGCAGGATAAAATATTAGCGTATAGTGAAGTTGCTGCTGGATTTTTTATATTTCTTTCTATACAGACCACTTTAAACCGGAAATTAATGTTACATTCACACTTTGGCCACGTTCTTTCGTGTTCTGGACTCTCGTGATGATAGCATTAAAGCGCAAACATGAATGATAATGTTACGAAAAGTATGGAAAATCTGTCAAGAAAAGTGGGAAACACCATCATAGAATCGGAATAGAACATTTTTGGAACGTTTTTGGAACATTTTTGGAATAGCTGGAGTTGTTTCACTTATAACAGTTCTGTCTTTGAGATTTCGCCCCGGACTCACCCTCCGGGTGTCACAGTACTGATGTCCCTCGCAACTCGACATAACCGCACGCTGCTTTCATATCGACGAAGGCACTCGAGACTCCCAGACCAGAATTTAGAAATATAAATTGTCACACTTCTTTCTATCTCCAGTGGTGACGGGATGCACGGACGGGATCGGGCTCGGTTATGCCAAGGAAGTGAGTTCCTCGACGTCAAATCCAACCAAAAACATTCCATTCCGCATGACCAATAAAATTGCATGTACATTTTTTGTTCTTATAGTTGGCCAGGCATGGAATGAACATCGCTTTGATCAGCAGAAACCCTGATAAGCTCAGGACAGTGGCTTGCCATATAGGTAAGAATTAGTCGTAAAGAACAAAAGCTTCCTATATTTTTAAATATTGACAGGCATTTTTTTCCTGCTTATGCGTCTGCATCTCCCCAGGTGTTTCCCTTAGAATCATTTCATCTGTTTCCTCATGAATTCCTTAGTACGAAGAAGGTCTAATGAAACTCGGACAGGTTTTCTTTTGCCCTGCTTCATTGACCTTAACTGAAAGTTCTTCCCAGAGCATTGAACCACAGATCCCTCCGGTACAAACTTCGTTTGATTTCCGTCTGGTGAAAGAAAAAAATTGTGACATCTCTAAAGAGCTGTATGCTTGAATTAGTCATCCGTTCGCAACCGCCTCGTCCCTAAAGCCCTAAAGCCCTTTTTCTTGGGGCAAAGAGCGTGAAAGCAAATAGCGTTACTTAGAGCGCGGTGTAGACTGTAAGAGGGTGCATGAGAATTTCCAAACCAAGCATTACCTCACTGTGTTCGCAGCATCTATAGCTGTGCGTGGCTATGATTATTATTAAATATGATATAAAATCATGACAGTTGCCCGAAAAGCATCTTCCAAGCGCAGGGTGCAGTTCGTTTACGCACGATAAAGTAATACAAACTGCCGGCATTGTATACAGTGACCAATCTGCGCTAGTTTCTGCACATTGATGGAATCCCTTCAGCTATCAAGAACTTCATCACGCTGCTGTAAATCTTTGAACACCTCCTCCTTGCGGAACTTGCTCAAGGCTTTGCAACAATAGTGACGAAACTACATGCCTCGTATTTCATTATCTTTATGTATGCGTGGATGTCTACAAGGGGAGCAGACGTAATATGAATAACAATTGATCCAAACAGGATAATATTCTGTCCGGGTTTCAGCTGATACTCCCTCGTGTAATCTTTGGAAAGCGAACAGTTTCCTTTAAAAGCGATAGACATCAATCGCTTTCTGATAGGAACTCGTGATAGTAACATTTTCTGAAAATTCCGAGATTTCTATTCTCGTTGCCTGCACTTTCATGCCACTTTTTATGGATCATAATGCACAAATCCAGTTCTGTCACATGTGAAAATCGTCTATCAGAGAAGGAATTTGGCGTCGAGACCAGAGCGATTCAAGCCGACTTCACGAAGCTGGACATCTACGAAGGGATAAAGGAGAAGCTGGCGGGCCTGGACGTCGGGATCCTAGTGAACAACGTGGGAATGACGACAGAGTTGAGCCCGTTCCTGGATGTCCCAGATGGAGAGAAGACATATCAGGACATGCTCCTAGTCAACAACATGTCAATGGTGCGGATGACGCACATGGTCCTCCCTGGGATGGTCGAGAAGAGAAAGGGGATCGTCATCAACATCTCCTCCATTGCAGACGTCTCCCCGGTTCCGCTCCTGACAATTTATTCCGCAACGAAGGTATTTTAATATCAGCGTGAACACATCTCTAGCTCATTGAGCGTTCTCATACAGAAGTTCTCATACACGTTAGTACTTCCATCGTTCAGTAGGCCTAGAAGGTAGTTACTATCATATTAACAGAAAAACCCGAAGAGTGAGCAACCGAAGAGACACATCTGATAATACGAGTTTACTTCTTAACCGACTACTTTAGTACCACGGGAACTAACATCTACTTATAATATCCGCACTCGTATGAGAACGAAGAAAAGCAATTGATCGTACACTCTTCTTTCCAGGCATTTATATACAGCTTTTCGCGGGGTCTCGCCTACGAATACAAAAAGAAAGGGATTCTCATCCACCACGTCGACCCTTGGTGAGCTTTATTCCTTGATAGTTGTGCACAAAATGTATGTTCTAAAGTCGCCACGAAATGAACTCTGCAAAAAATTGCCTGGTCACAGATCTGAGCGTATCACAGTTAAACAACCAGTTACTACTGTTGCTGTCACAGTGAATTCTTTCCCGCTCATTAAGGGCAGTGCAGCTTTTAATTTTGGTATGCAGGTACGTGTACACGAAGATGATACATAAATTTGTTCGTCCGCCGGGTTTGATGGTTCCGACTCCGGATATCTTCGTCCGATCCGACCTCCGCTCCATAACCAAAGTCCAAGATACATCTGGTTATTGGTTTCATAACCTCCTGGTAAGATCTAAGATAGAATCGATCATTCGTCATTCGCTTCAGGAAATCAGATACGGGGCCAACTATTTTTGTTGTCTATATTTTCAGCGAGTTTGATTTTTTGTTCATGGCGAATTTAGTTTCAAGTGTTTCATATTACTATGTCTTATAGAAGCGAAACTGAATCATTCTCTCTTTTCAAAATGGGGAAATCGTAACAATTGGTGGATTGTTACAGAAATAATTGGTAATGGGTTTCTACCCAGTTTAAAATCCTGGCTGGAAACAGCTATTAATATAATTTCCAGCTGGACTCCAGCTGTAAATTCGGACCCATTCCAACTGGGTAAGTGCTGGAAACACTACCTATGAGAATCTTTTCGTTCACTATTTTTGTCAGAGGTCCATCTAGAGCAGGGGTGCCCAAAAGTGCGACCCGCGGGCCGCATCCAGCACACAAAGTGCCTTAGAGAACATCCACTTTGGGCACCCCTGATCTAGAGGAATAGCTTATTTTCAAATGTAAATTTAGCTACATTCCAGCTGTAGGGTCCTCATGATAAAATTCCAACAGGAAACAGCTATTCAAGTCAGCTGCATTCCATTTGGAAAATTCCAGCTAAGAAACAACTGGGACCTACCACTTTCCAGCTCTTTTCCTGCTGGAAATTGTCCGATTTTACGGATTTGGTCCAGCTGGAATGTTCCAGTTGAATTTAAAACTGGGTATGGTCGTTGAAGAAAAATTAAGACAAGGAAAAAAAATGCTCGAGCTCTGGAGAAGGTATATTCTCTATGGTGTTCCGTTGAGCCCAAAGGCAGGAAAAAGGTGAGGAAACTGCACAAAAGTGAGAATTCTTATTGTTGAGGGCAGGGGATCCGTCTAGAAAGCAGTAAAAGGGAGAAGTCAAGTCATGAAGCACGTCCGTTCTGGGACAATAGACCAACCTCAAGGGAAGGGGTTTTCTTTGAAATGTGTATTCACTCACAGATTCGTCCTTCATCGAAGGACGAATTTATGTGAACAGAGTGACACTCCTTTTATTTATACGGAGTGGCATTGTATTTCTCTTTGCGCATGGTGGACAAAGAATCTCCCAGGGATTCTTTGTCTACCATGCGCAGAGATAATTTTTTTGCATTTTTAACGATACTTCTATATGGTATTCGGCACAGCAGTTCATCTGGGGTAAACTTATTCAAACACAATCTCGATTTGTGCTCATGATGGAATTAAAAAAATTTTATGATATGATCACGCACTCCCAAACACAGTAGTAATGTAAGAAAAAAGAAGTACAATAAATTTGAAAAGTAATAATTTATAAGTAATGTTTAAAATGCTACTTTCCAAAAGCGAACATTTCCTCTGATTTTCTTTAAATAAATTGCATTGTCTTGCCTATCAGATGTTATAGAAGAAATCGTGTTGAAATGTGTTAAGCATTCACTCAGTCGCCTGCAGAATAAACAGATAACAAACCATGTACGAGCGAAACGACTGAAGTGCTACATCGTTGTAGTTGAAACTTCAAGATCCTAAAAGAATTTTTTTTGTCTAAAAATGTTTGCAATGCTCTTTAAGGTCACAGGTGCTTGCAAAAATGAATACATAAACGCGGCATTAAGAGTAACGAAATCGGAAAATTTTCCTTTTCAGAGGGAGGTCGGTCGCTTCGGGGATTACGTCGCACCCACAGCGGCGACGAATCTGGTCGGCTGGGTCATAAAAATAGATTCGGAAAGATCGATTAAGAAACAGGCGGAACTCGAGGAGAAAGAAGCGGATGCCAAGACGTCTCAGCCGAAATGACGCGCTCCACTCTAATACTGGCATCTGACTTCCTTCGGGGACCTGACGTCGCCTGGACTTATACATCGGGGGGATCCCGATTGGCAAGGACAAAGGTCGTCGTTTGCTGCAGGGGTTTTTAACGTATGGAGAGGGTAACTCGTTATGTTTCTGGGTACTTTTTTTTTGATTGAGGCCTTCATGTGCCGGCACGTACTCCGTTTATAATAAAAATTAGTTGCTTGCTCCATTCCGTTACATTCATCCTGCACTTCTTGTCTGTATTCTCATCGTCCATTACAGTCTTATCGTGAATCAGCAGTCTACTATGCCGGAGCAAGATCCGAATATACACAATACGGTTGTTTTCAATGAAACATGAGACTCACATGAGTCAAAACCTTTGAAGGGACTATCGGATGCAGCTTATGTATGACAATGAGATGTACGGTCTCGAAACAATTTTCCCGCATCCGCAAGATTGATGCCAATAGAGGGCGCTGTGGTCGCGTACGACGGGCACGTCACACTGCAACCCAGTTATACAGTACTGTTCCACGGGGATTCACATTCGTTGATGTGAAAATCTCGCCAAACGTCTCAAATGCAATATGAATGAATTAAGTTCTGGCAGTCGTGCTTGCAGGACTTGCCGATACTTACGACTGTCGACTCAGTCAGGATTAGAGGCTATGGTACAATTCAATTAACAACCAATGACAATCATGACAGACGTGAAAACCGGAAAAAAATCAGTCAGACACATCTAGGACGTTTAGAGCAGGTGCATTCGATTGAAGCGAGCTTTCTTATAAAATATGAAGGGGAGTTCATTCGGAAGTGAACTCGGAGCGTCACAGGAGACGCCCTTTCGCATCATTATGAGATGGGAATTCGAGGTAGGAGCTTTTTCCAAAAGCAGCGAACCCCAAGTGGAATTGGAGTCGAGGAAAGGGAGACATTTTCTCCAGTGGAAGTGGATCTTCTCCGGAAGAACTTCATGTCAAGAAGGAAGGATTGCCCAAACGTTTCACGTATGACCGACTTCAATGAGGAACTAGAAGAAAATATTGTCTACTACGGTGGCAATCGCTTCACAAAGTCTTCTGGTCTCCTCCCTGTGTTTCACGTCGGAGTACGACGACGCCTCGAGAATCGTCCCACCAACTTTCCTGGAGGCGAATTCGATTAAACACATTTTCGGTAAGGATCTGTCTCGCCCCCCGAGCTTCCTTCGACGTTCCCTCGGTCCATCTTCCCCCCCCCCCCCCCCCCCCCCCCGAGAAAGCAGTGTCGTCATCTTTCAGCGGGGCCGAGTGAATATATTGATACAAAGGAAAAGATCTGAACGTCCATTTTGAATTGTTCATCTTTTCCTTTTTCAAAAGTTAAGCTGCCGTACACTGCCGGCGACCAAATGAGCACGAGGAAGAGGAGAGAGGAGGGAAGGCGTGGAGAAAAGCGGTGGGAACCTACAGAGGGATTGCTGTCTCTCTTTCCATTACGACCGACGAAAGACCCAATGGCAGGTCGTTTGCAAAAGGAGGTCTCTTTTGAGGAGCCTCGTCACTCCGTGTTCGGCATCCCACACGCTGAGCTCCAGTCTGATCCCAAGGACCGAGGGAACGTCGAAGGAAGCTCTGGGGGCCTCTTGCGATCACAATGCCATCAAGGTGGAATGTGTGGGCGTTAAAAGGCACGGATGTGTGTATGCGTTTAGTGAGTAATGAGGGGACGATGTGCTCCTTCGTTCCCATTTATGTCTCTTATCACGCGATGCTCTTGCATCGTTCGGATTGCTCTATCGCTCGTTTCGCTATCTTCTATTCCAGGAAAATAAATGTCATCACCGTCTGCCGGGTCGGGCAAAGTTGCCTGTGATATGAAGAAAGGTGACATCATCGGCGTGCATCAGGATTCGGCTGTTTTCCAGTTCAACGTTTCGGACGGAATGTGAGGAGGCATCAATTTTCATGAACGTCTAGGGGACAAAAAAAGGCTCCCGCTCATGAGAGGTTTATGTCGCCCTTTTCTTCATCCCCTGGGAAAATATATTAAAATTTCTATTAAAAAAAGAAAACAAGCTGAATTTAGTCCAGGTCCTTCTTTATTTCCCAAGCCTTGCGAGGGATCCTCCCTTAAAAGACCATAACTTGAACACATGAAAATTGGTGATTTGAACTTCCACATGAAGATGATTGACACTTCCGTTTCGTGAAGCTCGTGTTCCTTACGATGAAGACTTCGGTTCCAAAACACAAATGTTCCATTTCAATCACAGGATCGGTTTTTGGTCAATTTAGCACGAAAGGCAATAACGATTAAAAAAAAAGGATTACCCAGTGAACAACTTGAACAGAAATCCGGTGCGTCCTTTCCCTCCTCTTCAAGAGAAAGACTTCGTTATATTCAAGCGATTTTCCTCGGCGAATATTGGGATGAATAATATCAATACATTGAAGACCCCATGCTTCAGTTTGTTTGTTTTTTTTTTTTTAACCCAAATTGAGATAAAAGTGATATTAGTGAAATTTTGGATGAATAAAATTCGTGAAAATGAAGAGTTTTTCCTCATTCTCAAGGAAGGATTTCCCCCATTTTAGGTTTTTTCCTCTGATCGCCGTTGGACACACATGCTCGCCGGGCAGCTTCATTTGCTGAGAGAATGAATCGGCGAGTATAATCGTTTTCGCTAATTTTTTAGGCAATGCGCATTAGTCCGTAAGCCCTGAGCCAAGGTCGCAATGCTGACTTTGCTGTTGATCACATTATCGCGCGAGAGTCACGCCTGCTGTGCAGACGATTCGTATCAATTCAATATACGAGCAAATTTCAAACTATGAATACACAAGATACAATTACACATTCATCTCGTCGAAGGAAAGTAAATTGGAAAACATATGGTTCAGGTACTAGTTACCGCATGACCATCTTTCAGGTACTATTGAAATGCGCGAATTCATGAAAGAAAACGAAAAAAAAAACAGGATAGAAAGAGAATTAGTCGGAAAAAGACTTGGCATTTAGTACTGCGCCACGAGTACATGGTGTAGTACTCGTACTCGTGACGAAGTAGTACCTCCACAGCACGGTACTTCTTTCACCCTGTTGGTTCGACTTCCTCATCGCGATGTTTTCTTCGATGTTTTGCATTGCATCCAGCGGAGTCACACGGGGTCACGGGCAAAAAATCCATGTTCAAATCTGAAGGTTTGAGTGCAGTTCACACACCTCGCTCGTGCTCATGCTCCAATTAGTTCATGCTAGAGCGAGTCTCTATCCTGTTCTCCGACGTGGAACACTCATCGAAAGGGTCTTCGTAGTGGACATATGGCAGCTGCTGTTAGGCGAGTTAGCGCGGTGAGGCCATCGCGGGTATTGCAGGTTCATTTTCTTCGCGCCAAACATCTGCAAGGAATTACCAAAAAGTTTTACCATGACACAAAAGTTAATGAATATAGGAATGTCAGATTGCGAAAACCTTTCTCGGATCGGCCAAAGGACGACGAGAGCCCCGAGGACCTCGAGCAGGGCAAGACCCAGCATAGAAAACGGTGTGGAAGGAAATATTTTCCAGGAACTCCCTTGAACTCCCCGCGGAACGTCGAGCAGGTCGTCGAGCAGGTCGTCGAGCAGGTCGTCGAGCAGGTCGTTGCACGCTGGAGTCGATGACAAGGCCGATCGTGAAAATTCACAAGTTTCCTTCTTCCCGCACTATCTCGTCGCCTGGGTTCTGGTCCTGCAGGAATCGAACGAGGGCTTTCGCGAGATGAGTCGTCTCAGCGTCGCTACAGATTATCTTACATCGCTTCATTGTTCTCGTTTTATCCCTCACTCATTTTACCTCGATTGGGATCGATAAGAGAATAAACGTTCCACTATCTCGAGGGAAGTCCTTCTCCGCATCTGAAAAAATGCTGCTAAAAAAAACCCTGGGACGCGGAATTTCTGATCGATTCGCCGCGTCCCGCCGACTGAAAATCGCCGCATCGGGTCAAAGACGACGCGACGATCCGCAAAACGATGTCGAACATCGTCGATCGGCTCATCCAGGAACCGTTTCGATTTTTGAGACGCCATGTCGATGAGATTGAGTATCTCTGAAATCTCTTTGATGCCATTAATTTCGACTATTTTTTTTAAGCACAACTCGTGCCATTTTCCGCATCACAATATGTATCCATTTTACAATCTCTTCCAGTGTGGTGGCCGTGCTCAAATAATGAAAAAAATCCTCCCATCGAATCCGCTTCGTTTCAGACCCACGCGGTGAAAATGTTACCGAAATGCTGAAATCCGATTCCAATCTCGACTCACGATGACCGAGTTGCCATGGGTTGCCGGTTCAACGCAGATCTCCGAAATTGGACCCTCGACGTGGTCCCGCTCCATTTTCCGTGCCGGGTTTTGCTCCGCTCCATGCTCCGCTCGCTGCTCCCGAGGATTCGGCGAGATCGCATCGATTAACATTTCGACACCTCGTGTGTTCCCGACCGTTAAAGTGGCGTTTGCGCCCGGACATTGAACTAAAAAGTCCAATTTTCTTCGTCTGCATCATCGAATGCGCTGTTCCTTCAAATTCCTTTCGCGAATTTTTTTTAGTGCCTGATTTCACCTCGTTAAACGAAAATTTGAAAAATGTTACAAGTCGACCACATTGAACCGCAATTGTTTTCGGCTAAACCCCTCGACCTCTCCCCTGCAGCGCTCCAAATACCAAGCAATGGACTAACCGTCCCCAGCCCGACGCAAAAGCGCGCCGGAAAAGCCCAAAAATCCCCACCCTCTCGACCCGCCGAGGTCCAAAGACCTTAAGCGACGACTCGCGAGGCGACGAACCCGAAGCGAAGCAGTCGAAGACCACGAGCAGCGGACGTTGTGGCGCCTCTCATCCACCGCATTCGTGACGAAAGGCCGATCGGAGATTGCGCCATGCCCTGCAAGCCGAGAAGACGTCGGGTCGCCGTCCGGTCGCCTTCCGGTTGCGTGTCTAATATTTTCTTTACGACGCGAATTTCCAGGAAGCAACAGCACGGGTCCCAATTCCGACACCTTTCACCATTTTTCACCATTTCACCATTTTCACCATTTCACCATTTTTCACCATTTTTCACCATTTTTCCCACCTTGTCTTTTGATCACGGTGACATCTCGGTAGGCCACCCACTTCTTGCTTCATCTTGCACTCCTCCACAGGCCTCATTTGCCCATTTCCTTACAGTTTTGCGATCGAAATACAAAATCTTATGGATTTCAAAAATTGATTTGTCACCATTTCGATAGAGAGCCTGAATTTTGAAAGGAATACGTTCTCGCTCTGCTGACATCTGGTTAAAATAATAATAGGGATAAATATTGAATATACACATTAAAAGTTCCTTTAAGTCACTTTCATCAACAGTCAATTCCTAAAAACTTAATCATAATTTAATCACCCACTCTCTATAATCGAATGGTGGCCAAAAACTTTTTCCCCACTTTCGAGCCATTTGCGCCTAACCAAGAAATTATGAGCATGGGAATATTTGAAAATGTGGAAATTCCGCGTTCGCGGGAACATATTCAATTTGACCACTGTGTAACATGAACTTACTTGCTCAGACAATTCCACACTTTTTCCCTTGTAAAAAAAAAACCACTAATTTCCAATTCCACAATTGATTGGATGAAGAAAAACTAACCCCATAATAGCTAGTTCGTGAAATAATGGAATGGGATCAAGGGGAACTAGAAGCTCAGAAGACAGCACTTTAAAGTGTATTTAACTGCCACATAGGAAATAAATAATTTTTTTATTTAGATATTTGCTTTTTAAATTTGTTTGCATTGTGTGCAAGTCGGGAGAACCATCCCGGCCACCCCGTATAATCTGTCAAAATTCTTACATCAATATTCCCTTTCTTCAACCCCTTCCCGTCACAACATCCAACCAAATTGGGCAGACTTCTTTCCATCTCAGCACAGAATCGCTCCAGCGAATTTGAAGTTCTATCTCCCCCGGGTTGTGAAGAAAACTGAATCTCCCTTTTTGAAGATGCCAAATTCATTCCTTTTTTTTTTTTTTTTTTTTTAGGGAGATGGAACTTCAAATTTGCTGGAGCGATTCCGTGTTGAGATGGAAAGAAGTCTGCCCAATTTGGTTGGATTTTGTGACGGGAAGGGGTTGAAGAAAGGGAATATTGATGTAAGAAAAGTGGCTTTTTTGCTGTTTGCGATGCTCCATTTCGCCATAAAAAAATGAAATTAGCCGTCGTTCAATTAGGCTTAGAGAGCTTGCTCCGGCACCGTCCCCCCGGTGGGGGTTGAAAATTGGTTTTCACATTACTTCATAATTACTTGATCGCGATATAAAAATCGCCAGGACGATACGAGTTTCTTGTCGAGTTGCGGCAAACTCGGGACTCAAATCATCTTCTGTTTTGAAAGGTTCACTTGAGAAGCAACGAGAACCTTGGATTTCAAGAGAATTGCAATTGGTCATTTTGTGCTCTTCTAACAACATGTAAGTCGAGTAAAATTATTCATTTTGGGGTAATTCTGAAAGTTTATTTATTTTTTATTTTATTTTATTTTTTATTTTATTTATTTATTATTTTATTTATTGTTTTATTTATTAATTATTTTATTTATTTTTTATCTTATTTATTTTTTAATTAATTAATTTATTAATTAATTATTATTATTATTATTTTTTTTTTTTTTTGGGGGGGGGTTCCGAACCGACTAGTGGACCTCAAGGGTTTATTTTCCCTCAACGTTCAGCAGCTTTGCTTGTCCTCTGTGTGGTCACGTGTCCCAAAGGGTTTTGCTTTCTTCCCTCTCTCACGAGGATAACATTTCTCGTTTTCTCTCGATGTTATGTTGATCGCTTTCGAAGCGACGCAGCCCCTCCGAGCTCATCAATCTCATGCACGTGATTGCATCCTTCCCTCACATCCCCATCCTGCTTGATCCCTTGAGTGCACTTGCACTTGCCCTTCGCGTGTGTCATCGCGTCTCTCGGTTGGAACGGGCGTGCGAGTGATCCGTGGAGTGCAGGGACGTCGTGTCTCAAAGAGACGGTGTCAATTCGTTACAATTTATTTCACTTAGGGATGTGGAGCTGCGAGTCTTGCACTGCAAGCCAGGGTTCGGTGAAATTCTGTTTCGAGAGCGGCTTTCATGCGGTCGCGTGTATGCGACGTCCATTAATGCGTCACACTTCGAAGAATTACAATTCGGCGGTAACGATGCTAAAAGGCGCCCAGAAGTTGCGAAATCGGAAAGAAGACAAAACAAGTCGGTGATCCGAATTTCTTTGGAAACGACGGTCACGTAGGACCGACTGGCGACCATTCATCGACCGTTTTACAGTCCCTTCATCGAATGATTGCCGTTATATATTAAAGGATTACATTCTTCCTTAATGACAAAATAACGTAAGTTAAGAAAGACGTGAGCCAGTCGCACAAATTCCAATAAAATGAGTGTATTACTAACCAAGAATTCGCATGCCACCAGCATTCTTTTCTATTTCTCTCTCCCAGTTCAAGTCTATCTGATGTCCATCGAAAATGACGCTAAAATCCGTCGGCGAAATTCTGCTGGAAAAACTGCTCGTCCCGTACTCTTGGTTGACGTCGTTGGTGCTCTGGCTCGTGCCTTCGAGGCCTCGACGTAAAGACGTTTCGGGCCTCGTGGTCCTCGTGACCGGCGGGGCCTCCGGGATCGGCCGGATCATGTGTCTCCGGTTCTCCAGGCTGGAGTGCAAGGTCGTCACCTGGGACGTCGACGCCGAAGGTGAGTCCACCGATCAAAATTCTGCTCTTTTTTTTTCGTCCGTTTCCAGCGTTTTTCCAAGCCGAAAATAAGTTTCAGCCAAAACGCCTTCGAATTTCGCGGCTGCGATCCCGCAAGCCCGTCGACCCCAATGTCCCCTTCGTTCGAACGAAACCCTTAAAAAACCTGAAAATATTGGAATCACACCCCCATAAACTGCGCGAAAACGCGACGGAATCGCAACAGCCTCGAAAAAGGAACCCAACGACCTCGCCCTTGAACCCAACGACCTCGCCCTTGACCCCCCCAAAGGGATGAACGACCCCAGAGACATCCTTGACACCGAGCGCGGGAGAATCCTCCTTCGACCCGATCTCCTCTCCCTCCTCTCGCAGAGAGCCATCCACATTTCACTCGATAAATAAACAGCACTTGTGTCGCGATTCAGCGGAAACAATCGTATCTTGTGTTACAGGTGCATCAAGAGGCTCGTCGATCCCCCTCATCGGAATTCCTCCGCACTAAACGTTGTCTTTTCAGAACGTGAAAGAATAACGTGTCGTCACACCATCACAGCGAAGATTTTGTTTTTCTGTACTTTGGCTTCGCGTGATGGGATCCCGTCTCCGCAGAGTCTTCAATCTATCGATACATAAAATTCGTTTACGTGCAGAACGGTCTCCTGTCCCATTTTCGAGCGTGTCGATAATATTTATCATGATTATACGTGCGGCTGGGAGCTCAGAGACGGAAAAAGTGGAAATCCCATTCGGAAAGCTGCCGACGCTGGAAAGAGGAAAATCTGAAAGAGAGATGCACGGATGAGGGGAAAAGAGTGAAAGAGTTCGTCGAGAGTCGGCAACCGTAATAATCCTAATCTGATCTTGGACTTTCTTAATCCATAAGCGATTAATCGTCTCGAGGGATGAGATCTACCCTCGCGCGAGCCTGGTCAGAGATTACTCGCGAACCGCCGAAAACCCATTTTGTATCCATACGTGAACTTTCGACCGTGTCAAAAGCAGTTTCTTGTTGTTGTTTACCGATCGGCGCCTCCCAGGCGAAACGCGGAACGCAGCAACCCGACCGAATGAAATCCGCAATACCTTTGAACACGAAGCCGCGGATGGGACGAAGCCGACGAACTCGAAAGCTTCAGCAGCAGCCGCCACGCGAAGTGAAGCGCCGTCTCCAACCGGGAGCGAACGTCGCGTCCATGGTCCGGAATTCGCCATGCAAAGTATCCAATCCCGACCAAATTACCTCCATCGAGCTTGCCGCGCATCAAGTCGTCACATCAGTCGTCATATACGCGACTTTGCCCCGCATCCAGTGGCGTAACTAAGGGGGGGGGGGGGCAAGTGGGGCGGTCGCCCCGAGCGCCACAGTCCAGAGGGCGGCAAAGTAGTCTTTCAAAAAAAAAATGTACTTCAAAGAAGCAAAATTTCGAAAAATTTTTTCATTTTGCCCATTTTGTCTCCCACTACAATGTCTCAAGAAAGACTTACAAATCTTGCTATCCTGTCAATCGAAAGTCAAGTAGCTTCTTCCATTGATTTCAGCGAAGTTGTTAAAGATTTTGCAGCCGGTAAATCAAGAAGGGCTGAATTTTGATTGCAGTCGTTTGCAAGAATTGATTTTGTTTACATTATTTGTGCTGAGAATCAGTCCTGAATAACAAAAATATTTAATAAATCTCATTCTCCAGTAAAACGCGTGTGCATGTGAAAATAATTAGCAAGGGGACGGCAGCAACATTCACTCGCCCCGGGACGGCAAATTACCTAGTTACGTGCCCGCATCGCCTTCATGTAAAGCGTCAACCTTTATTTCACCGTGCAATTAAACCGAGTTTGCATTCACGTACTCGTCGATGCCGAGAACAGAGCAGGCACCCTCGAACGATTGCAGAGGGCCGGCATGTACGGTTTGGGGCTCGTTAGGTAGCTAGACGCTGAGCGATGGAATTGCCTTTAGCAGATCCCATCTCGAAGCCTTAATTCACGTAGCGATTCCTTACAATCGCATGCCGGTACGACGAATGACGATCCCTAAAAATATCGATGCCTGCAGCAATAGCTTCCTGTACGAAATCTCGATGCAAAATATATCGGCCTCTCGCCATAAATTTGAGGAGGAATACGTGATGGAAAGAGTGCATGCGTGGCTTTTACATCGCATTCGTTATTGCGAGAAAGAGTAATTGCTCGGCTACGTTAACCCCGAAGTTTTTTCAAATCGTTATTTCCCGGGGATGGTCCATGTGACTCACCACCTGGCTGCATCGTGCTGACCGAAACATCACGGCTCGATCACCAAAGCCGTGATCGACCCCATCTGACTTGAATAGATCAATCGAGCACTGCACGATAGCGTGCCGCTTCCGATTCGGCCTGGTGGCCAGTGGCGAGAAACAATATATGAATCCATCATAGTGTGGAGGGAGGCAAGGGAGGCTGAGACTACCCTGTCACTATTGTGCGATGTCTTTCTGGCTTCGGCATGGCATTAAAAAAAAAGGATGCATATGCCACCCATCTTCTACGTGATGATGGAAGGTCTCTCATGGAATGGTAAGTAAGAAGAATCCAATTTTTTTCGTGAACTTTGGGAAACGAAGACGTAGTTTGTGAGTCCCAGCTCCTGGAGTCATGCTCTCCAACTTTTATCATACAGCTTTGAGAGTTTCAAAAGGAAATGGAAAATCTCTGAGAAAACGTAGGTCTCCCCAGAGAGAACGTGCCGATGGGAAATGGTCTTGTCTGAACTGTACTTGCTGGTTTGTGTTTATCGTTATTCATTTCCTGTCCTTCGAAGAAAGCGACACTTTCGTGACAAACCAAAGGCCATTCTTTTCTTCTTTTGTCGCTACTTAATGAGTCCCCCCTTGCCAGCATACTGTTCTGCTTGCTGTTCTAAGATTACATTATAGTCCATTCACTTATTTATTTTTTACCAGATTAGAAACAATCTGTGTATCCGCAAGGGTGTGTTCCCGGCATGCCGTACATATTTACTCTGAGCAAATGTAGCATTCTGAATGACGTGCAAGTATATTGCTGTCAGGGAACGAGGAGACGGTGAATATGATCCGGTCAGAGGGAGGGACAGCGCATGCGTACCAAGTGGATCTGTGCAACAGAGAGGAGATCTACGAGACGGCAAAGCGAGTGGAGGAAGAAGTCGGGAAGGTGACGATCCTGGTCAACAATGCAGGGGTCATGACGGGGAAGAGACTCCTGGATTGCTCCGACGATGCCATTCGGCGCACCATCAACGTCAACGCCGTCGCCCATTTATGGGTACTACGCTTATGACTTCGGTGCCGACGAGCGATCTGATTGGCGGTTACTCTTTACAGTAGTACCCATCATGCTGCGCAGCATCTGGTCTCATCGATTAGTCAATGAATGATTTCCCGCAGAGACAGTGTCTCGTTTGAGAAGGGGAGACCAGTCTGAAACCGAGCAACGTTCATTTCCGCAGACCACAAAGGCCTTTTTGCCCGGGATGTTGGAGAGGGGACAAGGTCACGTGGTGACCATCGCAAGTCTCGCTGGGTTCTGGGGCATCAATCGACTTGTCGACTATTGTGTTTCCAAATTTGCAGTCATTGGCTTCGACGAAGCTCTCCGTACTGAACTCAAGGTATACGTTATTCATATCTCTCTAGGTTGCTTCTGCATCAATCATCAATCGTGGATTTATTGGAACAATAGCCCAAACAGTTTTTCCACTGACAGATCTGTGAAATCGACCAGCTGTGGTATCACTGATATGGCAAGAGAACTTTCTCATACTGACGTCACGTCAAGGGACAGGGGAGAAAATTTGAAAAACAATTTGAAAAATAGATTTGTGGATGTCTCCTAATGTTACTTTTTGCGACCAAAGTGAAACTGTGAAAGTTGCAAAAACATCAAGTGGAAATGCTTCTAGATCGCTCGAAACGAATTATAATTCTGGTAAGGTACCAGTGTGTGCCATAGGACTGGAGTCGCACGAGGGAGTTGATAGCAGGCCCATAGAGAAGGTGAAGCAAAATAGGTAATTTGCCCCGGGCCCAATGTCCGGGGGCCCCTCACGCCGGCACCCACCCCATCACGCTATTCACTCCCTCGTGCGACTTCAGTCCTAAGAGGGCCGAGGCACTTGTACCTATTGAGGCAGGATGGCCTCTCCAGAGACGGTAAACGCTCTATGGTGTGTGCAGGTATCACAAGAATTCACAATCAAATGAAACATCCGTAGAGATATTGATGTCCTATATTCATAGATATTCTTTTAGCTTGGAGTGTTAAGAAGGCATTTCGAGTGAAACCCAGAAAAAACGAATTTTTTTAAATATATAAATACAAATTCAATGCGCAATATTATATTTTGACGGATTTGATCTCATGAGCTGGGATCCCTGGCTATGCTCCTCGTCCGTTTGATACTATAGTGTCATAAGCAAAGACAGTAGAAAACGTTGGTACGACGTGACGACTGCACAAAGGGGGGAAATGAGAGCTGCGATAGGGTTTTTTTAATCGCAGAAGTGAAACCCTCATGAATTCGCGTTAGATCACGTACGTAAAACTAAAGAAACAATTTTTAACTCTGCGCTGCATTCTGTTCCGTAATGCATCATTGGGTTGAATTAATAGGGATAAGGACCTTTGTAAATTCATCGTCAGCAAGAAAATTCCAACTTTATGTTACCTGAGGCATTTTCATTTATACTGCAGCGTTCAGTTGATACTAAAAATTTCAGGTCCTGATCGTAGGTCCATTTGACAGTTTCCTCGTCAGCGGCCCGCGCTAGTGGCTCTGTTTGGCTAACTTGCTTTCCTACGGTCCCTAAATTCCCATTCTGTTGACTCCGTATCCTCAAGGATGAAGTAGGAACTTCTTGCAGCATTGCAATATTCAATCTCATATCATTCCGCGTGTTTAGTGTTCTCTTTTCTTGCAGATAGATGGCCATGAAGGAATAAAGACCACTGTCGTCTGCCCTTGCTTCATGGACACGAGGATGACTCAAGGCGTCAAAAGTCCGTTAGTTATTTCTTGAAAGATTCAGAAACCGCAGAGGCTTCATTGCAAGACTGCACCGCACTCTTGGGCAAGAAATGGGTATGCAATGGATTTCATACCTTTGCAGTGGGCTAAAACAAGTGAAAACCCAGGCAAAAGTATGACTATTGAATTTTAGTTTATTTTAATTTTGTTAATACAGAACTGTCATGGGATTCAGAAGAGCCACAAATGAGCCAACCCCATCATGGGATGTTCTTGTTTTAACATGTCAAGTTCTCAGATTTTTTAAAATGGACCATGAATGTTCATTGCTAATGGAAAACTGTCATTCATGTTGCCGTGGTGACAATCTATGAACTTGTTCTTAAATGCAATGATGGAGCAGATGCCATTTGTAACTCTTGAACAACAATGATAATTTCAACTCTAAAGGTTCATTTTTTAATGTTAGCGAGCAAAGGCTAATTATGAAATGGGATATAATAATATACCGCAACTCCCTGCTAGGTTTTATTATCATCAGCATCTACCCTTACCTATATTTTTGCCGTAACGTTTTCAGCTGGCCTGGTTTACTATTTGAACAAGAAGCTAATTGACACCCGCCAGTAAACAATATTAACTATCCATAATTCCATGATGTCATAAGTAGTTCCATAGGTCCCTTAATTACGGTTCTGATATTTCTTCATCCATGGTCCTATCAATTGGTCAAATTTCCGAAGAAACCCATTAACTAGAAACGAATACCTGAAACTATAGTAGGTGTATATTTTTTTAATGTGAAAATGAATCACAGCAAAATAATCATACATCCTTTTTTTCTGAGAAAGCGTACTCTCTGTTCGGGTTTTTTTTTCTTTAATTCTCAATATTGAATTCTTTGTTAAGGTTAATTTTTAAAATGCTATAATTATTTCAAACTCAATAATTACCTTCATTTATTCGTTCAATAAATGTTTTTTATTTACGTTATCCAACCATGTAATACTCTCGGGTGTTCCTCATCCCTGTGTCAACAATTTGAGTATTGGCCCAAAATATACGGATTTGTCCCACTTGGATTATTTACCCCACATCAATCACACAGGGGAGAATGCCGTAATGTTAGGGATGAGAGGACCTTAGGATAGCATGAACGAAAATGGACACTCGGTCCTTTGAAATGAATGCTACAATTGCAATATGCCCATAATAGGTAAGGAGAAAGAGCAAAGATTGAAGACTTGAGAGGGACGAGGTTTACTTGATGGCGCAAAAAATAGGCAATATGCAGCAGCCTTTTCGAAAATATTCATGCAGATTCTCGTATGAAATCACCGAAACGGTGCAGATGGTCAATATGTTCATGTATCTGTTATGCGCGATTTGTGCAACTGCTCATTGCGTGACGTTTTTGCCCATTTCATGTAAAATGCAACACCTGTGCTCATTGCATGCAATGAGCAATTTTCTTACAAAATGCGTGCAATAGGCAAAAAAGCTGCCGATTGCACGCCTTGAGCAATCACCAAATTGATTAAATCCGCTGTCAATTACATTGAAAACATATGACAATTTTGTCGAAAGGATGCGGCCATGTCATAAGGAATTAATGGCCATTTGACTGCACCATCAACAAAACAATATTCAGTAGGGATTCTTACACGTATTACCAGAATGTCAGGAGCTCTCACATCTGATCCCTCCTTACTTGCAAGGGCATCTTGAGGTTTGGCCCCTGGTCTTACATAGGCATCTTCTGAAGCCCTGCCTCCCACGTGTCGAGATGGCAGTAACGATTTCGCAATGGCTTCTCGATGTTGATGCCCTGCAATTTTACGATTTTCGCTTTTACCGATTCCATCTTGTTACTTTGCATACAGATCGTCCCATCTCTTGCTCTTGTGTTTCCGTCCAAAACAAATCCAGTTATGTTTGGAGGTTTTGCTCAGTCTCGATCAAATTCAGTGACACAGACAGTTACATTGTTTGAAATAGGTTCATCATCGTAAGAAGAGCAGCGGCTGCCTGGCTGTCCCGTTACGCCCGTGAGCTCTTTAACCCCCCAGCTCATCGTCCACGTGGCAGCTGTGCCACAACCTGAGAGAAAACCTTAAGCCTTAAAGGAGAGAAGAATGGGTAAATCTTATTGAATCGAAAAACTTATTCCTCGGAACTCTTTTTGCTTATTGCGTGAAAAAAAAGTAGAATGCGCGCAGTAGGCAACGTTTCTGCTCATTTCATGAAATACGCAAGCATGCCATTTTTGACAAAAAAAAACTTGGGAAAAACTTGCGCAATGCGCGCAATGAGCAGTTTCGCGAATCACGCGCATATTTATTACAATACAAGGTAGCTTCAAAAAGTTTCCTGACTGACTTTATTTCAGCATTTCCCGGGCACTTAGGAACAATTATGCACAATTTCCCTTCAAAATACTGCCCTTGGGCAACGACACAGTTCTGCTTGCGTCGATACAGTTCCTCGAAACATTTCTGGAAGCCTCCACGCGCCACCTCCTTCAACGCCGACTCCGAAATCGCCTTAATCTCCTCTGCATCTTTGAAATGAAAGTGGTGAAACACCTGTGTCAGTGACAATGTTTGTTCGCCATGCCCTGTCCGAAGCATCTGCAGGGTTTCCGTGGCCGATTTTCCCAAGCGCTGGCGAAATTTGATGTTGGCCCGTTGATCTAAACATTTTCACACTTCGAAGCGGTAAGACATTGTGCTCTACGAGGTGTGGCTATTAAATAACGAGACTGGGCGCCCTGTAGGCGGTATAATTCTAGGAGCGGGGAGCACATGTGCGGTGAGTGACTTTGAAGCTTCCGGAACCTGATGAGACGAGCCGGGTTTCGTTGGCGCTAGTAGTCAGTCTGCTAGCAGCGTTTGACGGGAGAGGTGCGCAATCGTCTTGCCGGAATCATGGCTAATGTAAAAATCGAGCAGCGCATCAATCTCAAATTCCTAGTGAAATTGAAGAAATCGCCGAGTGAGTGTTTGAAACTGTTGCAAGAGGTGTACAGTGATAATGTGATGTCACGTGCGCGAGTGTTTGAATGGCACAAACGATTTGCCGAGGGACGAGAGAACGTTGAAGATGACGAACGACCGGGTCGCCCTGTCACGGCAACAACCGAAAAAAACGTTGCGAAAATTAATGAAATTGTTCGCAAAGATCGCCGATTAAGTATTCGGATGATAGCAGACATGGTGAACATTGATAAAGAGACTGTTCGACAAATTTTACACGACCAATTGAACATCAACAAAAACCTCAGTCAGGAGCAGAAAGACATCCGGAAACACATGTGCACCGACTTCATGGAACGAATCACAGCGGAATCTGACTTGCTGGAAAAGATCATCACATGTGACGAGACTTGGATTTTCCAGTACGATCCTGAAACAAAGAGACAATCGATGCACTGGAAAACTCCCACGTCACCGAGAATGAAGAAGGCAAGACAGAGCAAGTCGAAGGTGAAGGCAATGCTGATTGTGTTCCACGGGGTCAGACAGTTAATCAGCAGTATTATCTTCAGGTTCTGGCCAAGCTGAGAGAACGAATGAGGAAGAGGCCCGAGTTGTGGAAGAACAACGCGTGGACTCTCCATCAGGACAATGCTCCCGCACACAATGCTCTGTCGGTAAAGCAGTTTCTGGCCGATAAGAAGATCCCAGTGCTGGACCACCCACCTTATTCGCCGGATTTATCTCCGTGCGAGTTTTACCTGTTTCCTAAGGTAAAGTCCGCATTGAAAGGGACCCATTTCCAAACTGTAGACGAGGTCAAGGATAAAACGGCAACGCTACTGAAGGGGTTGACACATGATGACCTGCAGCATTGTTTCCAACAATGGAAAATTCGTCTCCAACGACGTATAGATAGGGGAGGGGAGTATGTTGAAGGGGATACCAATTGAGTTGTAATATTGTAATAATAAACACACTTTTTGCTACCAGTCTCGTTATTTAATAGCCACACATCGTATGTAGCTGTTCCACCTTGTACGAGGTCCACAGTCTCGTCTCATGCCGCCCTTGTACTTCTAGGACCATCATACACTTTTTTGGAATCTTCGAGTGGGTGGGTAAGCATGCGGAAAAAACGTGTCTGAGTAACCGGACATTTTCTACCTCACAGTTGGTTACATTCTGCCTCCTATCAAGAGTCTTATCAGGGCAACTAGTGTAATAAGTTCTTTTGGTCATGCCAAATGTTCATGAAGATTTAGAATGCTACTAAAAACCGAGTTTAACTCATCGAAATTATATCTGATTTTACTACCAATCCCCGAGAGTTCCCGCAAAAATGCTGATATCCTGAAGCTGGAGTTATGATCTCTCTTATTTAACTAGATATTCACTAGATAAGCAGAGGCCCAGGAACTTGAACATCTAGCTGTTCGTGTAAGGCCCTCCTGACACAATTCCTCCTGCCGCATTGTACATGATTTGCCTAGGGGATCAGGGATTGGAGACACCTGGATTCATTCCAACCGCTCTCTATTAAGAGTCTATCTGATAGGATAGAAAGTCCGCTCTGAAACTCCTGCATTGACTGGTCATAGAGACACCTTCATCAGCCATGAGAGCTATTGATACCTTTATCTTCACTTTACCGCTGGGCCACTTCAGGCCCATGCTGTTCCTGTAAGTGTCATCTTGTTACACGAGGATCACGAGTGGAGAGAGAACAGAAAAGTCCGATCTCTTTCTGCTTGCTTGAACGCAACACCTGGAATCACTGTATAATGACTGAATGACCTACGATGAACAACTAAGAATCCCTTATTCCTGAAGTTACCTTCTCGATCTCCCTTGAAGCACACGGTAATACGCCATTTCAAGGTCCACACGGCACCCTTTGGCAAACTACCAATGTGTCACGAGGATCTTATGGATGATGAAGAATTTATTCGAAGCCCCAAGCTCTTCACGAGAGCCGCATTGTTTCTTTTGAATTTTTCAATGAATGGCGAGATCTCTTCTTCAGAAGTTCAATGTAGGAAACGTAAGCTAGATGGCAGTTTTGTAAATCAATTGTTTTTTACCAATTTGCCCGAATTACTCTGGAACTGCCCAGTCAAGGAAGGAAAGACGCTGGGTAAGCTGAATGCAGACATGGTCCTCTTTTCAACGAGGGAAAGAGGAATGCGATGTGGTAGGGGAAAGTGGAGATAGTGAGACGAGAAGATAAGGCATGGAGAATTGCCACATGCTGCATTTCAAAAGTTCGGACTGAGGACCCTCTCCACAAAGCCACGTCCTCCCTGCCTCTATGAATGAATCATTCTACTTAGAAGACTGAAGGAAAAATGGCAATGCTGGGTGGTGGCACGCCACCCCGACCCGAGCAGCTGACCACTGAGCATTGAGTTTGAGATCTCAAAAATTTCACATTTTCTCATAATTCTCTTGCAGAAATCGTATCATAACACATTTACAATTTACGAAATCAGTCTTTGACACGATGCAGCTGAAAAACGAAAGCTGCATTGGGCTCCCATTTCAACTTGTTCATCAGTTCTCAAATCAAACGGTTCAGTATTATCATGTTTTCGCCCATCAATGATTATTGGAAGCAAATAAGCAAGCAAACAGGCAGGACGGACTAATAAGTGGCATTTTTCCTCACTTCAAAAGGAGCCCACTGAAAAGGACAAATTCAGATACCAATTCTTTTTAAAGCACCAATGAAACAGGAAGAAAGTCCATGGAGTCATTCATCGTAAAGAATTTCCCGTGAGATTTCAATTACTAAGTCATGCTTTAATTTATTTGACCAGGATCAAGTTGAAAAGGTTTGTATTGGGATGTTCTTTGGCCCTTGCTCCCACAATAACATCTCAATTCGACATTGAGCGCCCCTCTATTTATAATGTTTTCATAGGAACCAGTCCATATATGCGGTGGGCCTATACATTACTGGTCCACTTAAAATACCTATATTTCTCATGCGGTTGCATGCATGTCCATGAAGTGTTACTGTCGCACACTCTAGTTCATTATCCTTGGTTTTGCAAAAACTGGCTCATGTCATAATATGAACCAAAATATACGATTAAAGTATGTCCGGGTAAAAAAAGAGTTTACACATGCTGTCGCTATGATAAAATGTATTGTGCTAGTTGAATTCCACTGGATAATCTTCATTATCGGATATTGGATATTTATTTGAAAACTCAACGGTCAAAAGTTTCGAAAATCTCCTGTTTACGAGAAGTGAAGCAGTGAGAAGTGAGGTTTGTACGAACCACGCTTTGTTGACATTTAAAAATAAATAAAAAATTCCCTCAAGAGGGATCTAGGACTGTCAGCAGACTTTCTTATAGGGCATCAAATGCTCCTATGTTGAAAATTCTTGGTTGTCAGCCTGCTTTCTTAGAACCAAGGATGATCTGAAATAGTGGATGACAGGGATACTTTATTGACATGCATACGCTTCTTTAAAGTATGGAATAATGTTTTAAATTTCCCTGAAATACTGGTTCACTGCGAACTGCTTCGTTGCACAGGCAGCGAACCTCTTCTAAGATATATTAACAGAAAAGCCAAAATTGTTGAAGGCGGTGAGCGTTTTTGGCCTGACTGAGTCTGAAGGAGGCGCACACGGGCGAGAGGTTATTCTGGACAAGACCAACAGGATCAGCAGCTGGAGCATCCGAGACCCTGTAGGGGAGACATCATCGGGCTCCTTCAGTCCGTGAAGCGAGGAAACTCTGGTAAGTTGCTTTAAGCACCTTTTTTTGCGTTTCCTGCAGGCTTCCTATTCCTACTGGCAGGAAACGTCGACGTTGCATTGAAAAGCAACAATTAAAAACCACTATCTCATGGACCTTGTTGGGAGTATAAGGTGGAAATCATGTCATTTGACATTCAGTTGCCGTGTGAAGCGCCAACTGGTTCCTCGCCAATCCCGAAGAGCCACTGTTACATTGATGGCCCAAATAAATAATAATTTTGGTGTTAGGTGGCAGTTGGTAGTTAGATATAAAGCAGTAACCTCTTGTTATCAATAGAATGCTTGAAACACATCAAGATAAATAACGCAATATTCGTCTACAAATACAAAAAATACAAAAGACTGTCTTAAGTTTTGATTATTTAATTAATTTAAGATATTCCCATTTCGCTCCCACATTTCAAGACTTTTGAGGAAAAAAGTGATCCACCGTCCACCCGATCAAAACATAATGACACGCTTCCAATCAATATCAAATCTTTTATCAAATTCCTAACAGACGTTTCTACCTGTTGGTGACTTCACGATGGAACATTTTGATGCGATGCTGTCCATGTTAATGAAGCACAAATTGCTAATGAGCATTGCTAACAGGTTAGGTAGGATAGGTTACTGTTTTCATTGAGCAGCAAGGAAATGAACCAGTTTTAGAATAACTTCTGGCGAGATCCTCATTTCCGAAAAATGCGATTCATAGTGTTGCTGTATCTGGATGGCATGTATAATTGGTAACCATCAAGGACGAAATATATATATAAGAAATGGAAGTCCTTTCTTTAGTAAAGGGAGCCAGAGAGTCCCTATCTCCGCGTACGTGAAAACGAAAACTTCTCGAATGGCTAGTCGATGTAATTGACAGCTTCATGGAGATTTTCCTCATCATTAAATTTCATTTGTTATTTTCCAGATGGTGAGGTGAGGTCACAAATCCATGATATGACTGCCAAAATTGGCACACATGATGGGCCCTTCCACTGTGATGAGGCCCTAGCCTGCTACATGCTTAGATGCCTTCCGCAATATAAGAATGCAAGAATTGTAAGGTAAGCCTGCTTTTTAGCAGCAATATAGATGCATGGCTATCACTCAGCAACTCGTAAGTGGAAAAAAAATTGTCACCAACATGAAGGAAAATTGATATTTACCTAGGTATATTGTATTTTCAGGAAATGAATCCTGAATAATTTTAGAATCGGAAGTAGGCATTTATCAGAAAGGACAGTGACCCTCATGGTCATCATGGAGGGACGAGGCATATGCACTTTTTACTACTCACATTAAAATATATGAATTGCTGAATATAGCTTTTGAATTTTGACAGACATTCCCCAATATTCTTCATGCAACTTATTGAAGCTTATTGGAGCGTCGTGGCATTTATGAGCCGTCTCAAATTTGTCCACGTGGGAATCGCCAGAGTTCCCTGGCGAAATTCCGTGATTTTTCTCTTAGATAACTGAGATTAAGTTTCGCCTTTAAAATCCAACTGGACATCTTCAGATCGCTCCCACCTCTTCACATTGAAGCGGGGTCCCCTTGATTCCTCTATGGAGCCTTGCAATTGAATTTCCTTTCCAAGAGAAAATTGCGCTTAGAATACAAGTTCCATGGATACTTTCTACGACACAGATCGAGAAATGAGAGCTTGCTTTCCACATGCGATATTGTCGTGGACGTGGGTGGGATTTACGACCATGCCAAACGACGATATGATCACCATCAAAGGTAAGCCTTTCCTATAAGTTGCAAGGATTGAAATTAGAAAAATACAAGAGTAAAGCAACAAATGAATATTCTTCAAAAAAATTAAAACATTCATTATTGGCTTTCATAGGGAATTCTCAGCCACCATGATCACAGGGGAGAAGACATGGAAGACGACGCTGAGCAGCGCTGGGCTGATTTTCTATCACTATGGGAAAGAAATCATCAGCATCGTTCTGGAGTGTCTGGTGGAGGATTTCAAGGTGGAAAAAGTGTTAGAAAAGGTCTATGGAAACTTAATTGAAGAGATTGATGCTACCGACAATGGTATCCCAATCTGTCATCGGGGCCTTATGAAGTTAGTACCCATCATTGAAATTGCAGTTGCAAAACCATTATGCATTGGGAATGAGAAATTCATCATTTATTTTAGGTACAAGATCTGCACAAGTCTTTCAACCCAAATAAGGAACTTGAAACCACAATGGACAGATACGGACAAAAGTACTGATGATGTATTTCCCGAGGCTATGAAGACGGCAGGTGATATATTCATTGACCGCGTCCGATACTATGGGAACGTCTGGTGGCCTGCCCGAGAGATGCTCATTGAGGATTTGAACAGAATATACAATGTAAGGAGATTCTCTTCTGCGCTTTCTCTCAGATCTGAGAATTGTTCCTACTTTGAAGAAGCTTTCGCAGGTGGATAAGAGCGGAAATATCCTTCAGTTATCCAAATACTACCCTTGGAGGGAACATTTGCTTGACTTGGCAGGTGAAAATTTGCAATGGAGAAATCAAATAAATCGCTTGGCTTTCGTGATATATCAGACTCCCAGCAAGTGGATTATCAAAGCAATTCCCAGGTCATCCGGTCGAAAGTACGTGAAAATCAATCCAGAAGGTTGAACTGGATAGTATCTAATTCTGAGTTCCTCTCGAATACAGGGTGCTCTTGCCTGAAGAATGGGGAGGACTGGAAAAGGCGGAGCTGGTGGAAAAGTCTGGTCTGCAGGGTATCATTTTCGTACATGGGAATAGATTCATCGGAGGACATGAGTCTCGCGACGGAGTCATCAGCATGGCAAAGATGAGTCTGGCTGCTTTTCAGCAGGTAAGATAGGCTTTCCTGTCTCATTCGGCTAGTGCGTACACTCTGATCAGTGTGACGTGCCTCGAAGTTCATCTCTGAATATAATCCATACTCTTTTAGTCATTACAGCGGTGGCATTCATTACATCATACCTTTATTAATGTTTAAAGACACTGGCAATTACATCAGGTACTCGCAATTGGTGTTAAAAAAATAACTTGAGCCTGAAACACCTAATTTGTATCTAACTTTGGGGTTGAAATTCTCGAGAACCACTTGTGCGAGAGCGCTGAAATTTGGTGGTTTTGCCCCATTCAGGGAATTTATCAAGCGTGAATTTTCTCAAGCAAATACCCCTCCAACGCACAACCATGATTTGATAACTTGAGCTGGCCAGATTCCTACCGCCGCAAGGGTGGTAGAAATCTACTGATTCAAACATTTACCAACGGAATTTTACAAATGCGTATTTTTCGTATTTGTTTATATCAGTAGCAGAGACATTGGCTTTTTTTTGGACTTTTTGTGATACTTACATTCATCCCTAGATTTAAATGATCAAATGTTCTTTGATGTTCTTTGTTCTTTGATGTTCTTTGATATTTGTATGCCAATTTTAAGCACCCTATGTAATTTCCTATGTATTTACACCTTAACCAAGCCTCTAGCTATGAGAATTTCTTGAGTTACAGGGATATCAAAATCGGAGGTTTGCAGTTGACCAGACATTTTGGCAATCTGTAGCATTTAACCTACTGACCTGATGAGACTCAAACTTGATACTTCCAGGTTTGACACTATTTAAATCCTAAAGACCAAGTTTCGTCAAATTCGGAGATGGTAAGTTGTTACACTTAGATTGATTTTCCATGGAATCACCCTTTAGGTTATCAGGGTTCAATTTCCACCCAGTTTTGCCCATGAATATGTTGTTGAGCCAGCAAATAATGCAATCTCAAAAGAGCGTAGGGCGAAGGGCAAAATTCTACTCATAGGAATAAAAAGATTGGCATGAAATACGGCTGAAAAGCCAAGAAACATGGACATATCACTGTCTCTTTCCTGTAATATGAACTTTATCTCTTCCCTTGCCAAGGAGATCGTAATAAAATATCCTTGATGTTGTCTAATTCCTGACCCTTCGAAAATATCATTGCATCATGCGTCTTCAATTGTATTGTCTTTGAATTTTGGTAGGGGCGGAAGAGACACGCGAGTTCTCCAGCTGACAATGCTGATGGAGGTGCAACTGCTTCCAGGAGAGGATGCTGGTCCATGAGAGTAAGTCACACGATTAACTCAAATAATCAAGTTGCATTGTAAGCCATTTCCGGGATGCTGAAAACATGTAGTCATATGTCAACCGTAACAAAGATGTTAATACTGCACGCTTAAGCTGATTGCAGCTGCAACTCCACCCATTCTCCTTCAATGTTGGTCCTGGCTTTCCTGAACTGCGATTATCGCCTTTTACGAGGTAAAAGGATTATACATGTTTTATTGGGAGAGAAAATGCAAGTGCCATTCATCCTAGCAAATCCAGCTCCATGAGAAACTGTATTGGTATGAGTAACTGTTTCAGAACTTGTATAATTGGTCGTCATTAGTTCAGCGATCCTTAAAATGTTGACATTCATGAAACTCTTAAACTTACCAAGATGAAAATTAATATGTTGGCCAACGTGGCCCTTCGGGCCGAGCCTCAAAAGACTCCTCTACACATCTCATGAAGGCAGGTCTCCATAACTATTCTACCTCAAATTTGGGTAGATGTTGGTCTGAGGCTACAGCATCTATCTGCAGGATCATTCGCATAGTGCAGGACATGGCAAAAAATATGAACTTTTAACTGCTCATATTGAGCTATTTTTACGAAACTCACCGTGCATATGTGGTTATATGCACTTATGTATTAAATACATCTGCAACGTTTCCAAGAAATTCATTTCTTCATATCACTCAAGTGCACAATGATTAAGGAGTTTGAAAGAGAAAATTCGTAATATCTCAAGCTGGTGGGTGAGTTGAGGACATGTCCACATGCATTGCTGTCACTCAAACAACATTTAACTCCTCTTCGATTGGAACTACTGTATATTAGGCCGGTCTTTACTCTTAGAGCTTTGATGAGCTCTAATCCAATTAAATGATAGGCGAATCAAGAAGTACCAGACGGACGTTACTTGAAAGTTTATTTAATTACATTTTTTGTCGATGAACGAGCACAGTGAACGAGCCACTTGTATTGGACTGGAATCCCCTATTTATTTCCAATTTCCGGATTATTTTTGAATAATTGCCCATGACATTCTTTTAGCAACATCAAATACAATGAAATTTCAAGGTCTGTTAGGAACATATCAGTCTATGCACAATACTGAATATATATACCGATTAAACGACGTTGGTCCGTATTTTTTTTGCCATATTCTGCATATCAACTATTCAGACGAAGTAGGTCAACACAAGGAAGATGTTTCCAGCCATTGTTCAATGGGGCTAATACCTTCGCAAGAAAAACCCCAGCATTTTGGGAGATGGATGAAGCAATTAGCTCATAGCAACGTGACGAGCATAGAGACGAGCAATTCAATCATACTTCTCCCCGTTCGCACCGGGTGTTCAATCCCAGTGCTGTGGTGTTTTCAAGAGCACCAGTGGCAAAAAGGAAGAATTTGTTCTGTCCAAATATACCAAATTGTTAATTCAAGGTTACTCTGCCACGTTGGGTGATTCGTAGCACAGGCATTGATGCAGGAGAGTTATGCGAAGTATTCGTGAAAATTACACAGTATGATGATTTCGCACGGTTTCTCAAAGGCCTCGCATGAAATGTTGCCCAGAGCAAATCCGCAGGGAATAAATCAAGTTAATACATTTTTGTTTTTCGTAGGGAGCGATTAAAAAGAGAGAAGGAAGACGTTTGGGGAGATATATACCAAATACGAAGAGGAGAGGCGGACCAAACCATTTGGACTTCCAACGAGAACGACTCCATTTCTAATGTGAAGAAGAATGCGACAGGGTCAACCGAGTTTCGAATCCCGTCATTGAAGGACTTAGGTTCAAAAGAGGCAATTTGGAGGAAAGGGTTTCGGTGTTTCTCTGTGGTTTTGATCCTCATGTTTCATAATTAGTGCTTGTCTATATATTTCATACTATTCTCATGTGTAATCTGAGATCCTGATTCAATTCCTCCGGCAAAGCTTAAAAAACATTATTAAGATCATTTTTGAATTGAATATTCCAAGTTTTGGAATGAAACATAGAGTTCTCTGTTTAATGAATAAAAGTGATGAAACGATGGTTTGGTGGGAGCCTGGTGCCTTCACACAGAAAATTCAGTGCTTCAGTTCGATGCATTTTTCGGCGAAAAAATCTGTCCTGCATGTGATGCGTCTTGATCGCATCGAATTTTGGATGCGATAAAAACGCATCACATGGAGGACAACTTTTTTCTCGACGAAAATGCATTAATTTGATTCTGCATGTATAGGTGAGGTATATTATGCGCTTCTGCCGCATTGAACATTTCATGATGAGCTTCAGCCACATCGAAATTTGTCTTGCATGTCTTATTGTGGGAATGTAGTGGCGTTTGAGCCTGAAGCCCGAATTCACGAACCTCATTCAGGGGAGACAACGGGGCTTTTAGCGAAAGAGCTCTCTTTCTCCCATAGGAATCCATGTATTCTTAAAGGACTGTTAAATATCCATAGTTAACAGTCGGATCTCATATTGGCGATACGTGTTACACAACCAACGCACCAAACGGAACATTAATTCATTGAGCTTTCCTCATGTTTTACTATTCAAATCGAGTTACCGGATCTGGCAACAGAGCGAAATTCCCCAACTAAGAGCCATAAATTAACTCCCTGTGATAAGATAACATGCGGGACGAAGATCGACTTATATGCTGCATTGCTAATATACAAATTTTCGAGAGAATGTTTCCATTTCTTTCTGGGAAGTGATCACCAAGGGGAGTAAGTTGCAGTTGAGGACTGCCTCTTCGTCCATTGCCAATATATTGCCCGATTTTCCCAATTATTAGATTTATAAGATGACTCTGTGGTGGCTAGACGAAGGTGAGAGCACATTGACATATAGAGTGAACGAAAAAAAGTGGCGCAATATTTAGAGCTTTTGGGTGTTTTTGGCTTTAACATCGGCTAGAAGCAAACGGTAGGGACCGTTCTTGCGTCATAATATAGCCGTGGTCTTAAGCTATGCAGAGATGGTGGTCTCGTGTCGCTAGCTCTTCCCATCAGGAAAATATTGACTTTCAAAGTTGAGCAACGCATTGCGCCAGTTTTTTTCCTCTTGCACTCGCTAACAAAAATTACAACTTTAATAGGAAAAAATTTTACGTAATTTAATCTTTTGTGAAGCCACCCTTGGATTTCAAAACTGCAGCACCCAGCACAAACAACAACACTTTTAGACATATTTTTGATCTGATAGGCACAGACTTCCTTAGAAATCTTGGCCCATTCGGCTTCTACTCCTTGCTAAAGTTCGTAGATTTTCTTGGGGTCAGTTTCTTATGATCCAAGCTTTCATTTCAGGAGTGACCATAGGTGTTCGATATGGTAAAGGTCGGGAGACTGCGCAGACAAGTCCAGCACCTCCACCCTGTTACCTTCGAAATATTGGCGCACCCTTGCGAGACGTGTGCTTTGGGTCATTGTCTTCCTGTGAAATGAATCCATCCTGTCCCATCTCGTAATAATCGACCGTAGAGAAAACGTTATTGTTTACGATACTGGTATACAGTTTGGCGTCCGTGCTTCCATCGATGCGACACATCCAGTCGACGCCTTTGGCCGTCATCCATTCCCAAATCATCAGGTTTCTACTGCCGAACTTGACCGATGAGGTTGAATGCTTGTACCATGCGCTTTCCACTTCCAAATGCGCCCGTCAGGCCCCAGACTATTGTTTTTTGGTTTTGTCAGAGAAACTCTCGCGGAACCGATCGTGTATCGTCCAATGCAGGTACTTGTGAGCGGACTCCAAGCGCTGCTTGATTACGTTTGGACTCAGTAAAACGAATGCATGCTGAAGGTAGAGTCAAGTTCGGCGGTAGAAACCTGATGATTTAGGATTGGATGACGGCCAAAGGCGTCGACTGGATATGTCGCATCGATGGAGGCATGGACGCCGAACTGTACACCAGTATTGTAGATGACTAGGTGCTCACTATGGTCGATTATTACGAGATGGGACAGGATGGCTTCATTTTC